TTTAATATTTATTTTTTAGTTTTCGGAGGACACAACATCTTTGTTGGTATGTGGTGCTGAGGATCGAACCCAGGCCACACGCATGCCAGGCAAGCGTGCCACCGCTTGAGCCACATCCCCAGCCCCAGTTTGTGATTTTTGAAAGGCTGCCCTTTCCACAGAGCTTGCCTGGGGTGGGGTCTGCTGGAGCTGGCTTTGGTGCTCCAGGTGGTGGTGGTGTGTGCTGATGCTTGGTTCCCTGGACACCATCCCGTTGTCAGAGATTATCAGGCTGCATGGGAGAGGCACGCTTGCCTTCCTCATTGCCTGGGAGCCCCAGGGACCTACAGAGGGGGCTGCAGCTGCATGTATCTGCTGGGCAGGTGTCCAGGCCAAGAATGGACATGCAGCTCTGTCTTCCACCACCTCTCTAAGCCTTCTTTCTCCACCTTCCTTTGGAAAGTGCTGTAGCAGGAATTCTCACTAAAGTGTAAAGGACTGTCGAGACTTGCAGGTCCCCTCCCACGTGGCTGTCTCCCCCTCTCCACTCCGCTCAGGCTTTCCAACCTCTGGATTCTGGTGGGCTTTGGCTATAGGAGGCACCAGCAGCTCTGGGGGAGGAGAGAGAGAGGGAGTGAATGTTTATCCCCCTCCTTTCCTCCAGCCTGAGGTGCTGCAGCCTCTGTCTGCAGCCCCAAGAGGCTGTTCTTTCCCCGGGTCCCTCTGCTCCTGCCCATGCCTTCATGACGTGCAGCTTCTTCAACCTTCCTAGTCCCTCGACTAGTCCATCAGTACCTGGCCAGCTGGCCTTACCTGCAGCCAGAGGCAGTGGCAGGTGCTCCTACCCAGTCAGGGTGGGAGGCCCTGGGGCCAGGGAAGGCCTCCTGGTCTAAGTGGAGGGCAGGATGGGTGCCGCTCTAGCTTCACTCCCAGACAACAGGCTGAGTGGCTCCGAGAGTGGGAGGCAGCCCCTGCCCTGCAGGAACGGGTGGAGAGGTGCTGGTGATTCTGGGACGAACCGGACCCTGGTCTGCACAGGATTTTATGGGGCTCTCCTGAGGGAGGGTAGGGCACATGGGCGGAGCTCTAGGGTCTCAGGGACAGAACCTGGGGTGCATTTTTGTCCAGGGAGGGGTGGTAGAGTGTTCTCAGAGGAAGGGGGTGGCCTGTCCCCCCAGGCCTGCCAAGGCAGCTGCAAGAAAATGGATGAGGACTGCCCACTTCCCAACTCCCGGGGCCCTCCTGCAGCCAGAGGGGGATGGAAGGTCCCAATAGCCCCACCCTCAGCTCCTAGAGCCCTGGAAGGGAACCTGGGTCCTGCCCATTCTGTTCCTGGGGCCCACTGGCTCTGCTGCAGGGACAGGTGTGACCCACATGGAAGTGGACACGTTTGCCCCTCACTGTAGCACTGCCCAGCCTGGGTCCCTCCCTCCCTCCCATCACTGCCTCAGGGACCCCACACTGAGCCTTGGAGACATCCCTGTGTGCCTGGCTGGCCCTGGGGCCCGGTGCCACGGCCAGGGCTACCTGGAGGTCTGGGTGTGTCAGTGCCTTACCTCTGCAGGTGGCAGAAGACAGGCAGCCAGTAGCCCACCCACCCACCCCAGGATGGTCTCTGTGTCCTCAGTTCTTCAGAGGGACAGGGAACCCACCTGTAGCCACAGAGCTCTGGGTGGGTGGGAGGAGCTGGTGTCTGTGCCAGGCCACTGCCCTGTCACTGATACCTGTCATTCCTGGGTCCCTTGCTGGGGCCTGCCAAAGCATGTCCCAAGGCTCTGCCAGGCAGCCCTCCCAGGGGACCATCTTGTTCAGCTTGGCCCTGCTGTGTGCTCCTTCTGGCAGTGGGTGGGCCGACCTCAGGCTGGCTGCAGTGGTCAGCGGGCGGCACAGGTCTCAAGGCTGCCCTGCTATGGGAGGCAACGAGGCCCAGAACCTTATTTTGGACCTCACAAGGCTTCTATCCTGAAGGGGACCCTAGGCAGTCTCGAGGCACTGTGTGAGGGACAGGGTCTCATGGCCTGGGCAGCAGGTGAGGTGAGGGCAGGGTGCTGAAGCCTCCATGTGGGGTAGGTCATTGTCCATCCTGACTGCTTCCTGCCCTCCCTGCTGGACACCAGCCCCCTCCCCGGGGCAGGTGTCCACTGCTTCTGACCTCTCCAGGCTTGGCAGGCAGGAGACTGGAGCTGGTGTGGTCCAACCAGGAGGAGTCGCCTGGGGCTCAACCTGGGCCCCTCCCTGGCAGCATGGGCTCTCCAAGGAGGGGCCCCTCCAGCAGCCGCCCCTTAACAGGGCAGAGGATGGCCTCCCCGGTGTGGGTGGCCAGCGAGAAACTCTTCCCTGTCTCAGGAGACCTGTATAAATAAACCCTGACAGGAAAAAGGTCCTTTCTGTCCCCTCTCTGCCCCTCCCTGTCCCTCCCTGCCCCTCCCTGCCCTCCTGCCCTTTCTTCCCTGCACCTCCGTCTTACCTGTCCTGAGACCTGCTGCTCTGAAGGTCTGAGCTGGGGGACCAGGCCTTGGTCCCCAGGTTGCCCTCATCCCACTGGACATTGGGTCCTGGGAAGGGTATGTCCCTGAGGAGGTCAGCGTGCTGCCAAGTGTCCCCTGGGCAGTCTCAAACTCTCAGAATCAGACAGCCCTGTCCCTTGCTTGCCTCAGGTGTCCTCATCTGGGAAATGGGGACAATGGCAGTTCCTGCCTCCTGTGGGCTGGTCAGGGAATTTAGGAGGGATGTAGCCAGAACCTGCCCCCAGGGAGGACAAGGACGCAGGGCG